CAGCGATGTAGAATAGGTGGGAGGGGCTAATCAGACAGCGATGTAGAATTGGTGGGAGGGGCTAATCAGACAGGGATGTAGAATAGGTGGGAGGGGCTAATCAGACAGCGATGTAGAATCGGTGGGCGGGGCTAATCAGACAGCGATTTTGAATCTGTGGGCGGGGCTAACCAGACAGTGATGTAGAATAGGTGGGAGGGGCTAATCAGACAGCGATGTAGAATCGGTGGGCGGGGCTAATCAGACAGCGATTTTGAATCTGTGGGCGGGGCTAATCAGACCGCGATGTAGAATAGGTGGGTGGGGCTAATCAGACAGCAATGTAGAATAGGTGGGTGGGGCTAATTAGACAGCAATTTTAAATCTGTGGGCAAGGTTAATCAGGCCGATTTTGAATCGGTGGACGGGGCTAATCAGACCGAGAGGTAGAATCGGTGGGCAGGGCTAATCAGACAGCGATTTTGAATCGGTGGGCGGGGCTAATCAGAACGAAAGGTAAAATCGGTGGGCAGGGCTAATCAGACAGCGATGTAGAATAGGTGGGCGGGGCTAATCAGACAGCGATTTTGAATCTGTGGGCGGGTCTAATCAGACCGAAAGGTAGAATCGGTGGGCGGGGCTAATCAGACCACGAGGTAGAATCAGTGGGCAGGGCTAATCAGACAGCGATGTAGAATAGGTGGGCGGGGCTAATCAGACAGCGATGTAGAATCGGTGGGCGGGGCTAATCAGGCCGATGTAGAATCGGTGGGCGGGGCTAATCAGGACGATTTTTAATCGGTGGGCGGGGTTAATTAGACCGCAATGTATAATTGGTGGGCGGGGCTAAACAGGCAGCGATGTAGAATATGCTGTGAAGAGCACTAGTGAGTGCTGCAGGGAGAGCGTTTCAATCCTTCATGAGAAGAGCGCGTGTTTGAGTCTCTGTTGTTCTGCAGGTGTGTTTGTTGATGTTCAGATCGTGAGTGTCACCTGCGTGTCTCTCGTCAGATCTTCGCTCTCATCACGGGTAATTTGTGAAAATGACACGTTGTACCTGCAGAAACAGCGTTTCCGTCTCCGTCTCTGCGTCTCTGTTTGTGCTTTGAAGTCAAACTTCAGAACGATGATCCTGGAGAACAATGAGCTTCTCTCACAGAGACGGAGACGCGCTTCAGTCGTTCTGACGCCAAAAAAACACTGTAACGTGAGACAACTGTGTCAGATATAAAGCCATCAAATCTTCTACTGTAAATGTGAGATTTCACTTAACTTAACAGAATCCGATAAACAATGCTAAAAGTATTCAGAAACACTCTCCATACATCTCTAAAATAAGATCTAATGATATGAATAGCAAACCAAACATTACGTATGAAATTAATTTTAAATGATTTGATTTAATTATCCCATTATACATTATGCCAAATTTAGTTTTATATTAAAAAATAAGTATCCTTACAAAATATAGACAACATATGACCACCGTCTGGAGAGGAAAAAACATTATTATTTTTTAATTTCTTGTTTATTTAATAAGTTTGAATTAATTAATTAGCTTTTAAATATTAGATGAATACAATGTGAATATTATTAATTAAAATTAATAAACATAATTATTAATTAACATTAAATCATTTCAATTTTCAGAGAAATGTCAGATATTTTTCGGATTTGTCCTTCATACAACATTGTGAAAATTATTCCTCTGAAATGTTCAATGATTTATTTAATGCGTTTTAATGTATCAATTAGCTTTTAAATGTTATTATTTATTAATCTAATAAAATAATTTAATTTATATTCGTTAATATTTTTGTCTATTTTTAAATATATATTTAATATTATTAATTTATTTAGTAAGTTACGGATGCCGTTTTCTTTCCTATACTGTCATATTTCCTTTTGAAACACAAAGTTGGACTGGGACATATTAAAGATATATATATATATATATTTAATTTTTTACACATTTATTTTTATTATTTATTTTTCATATATAAAATAAATATTATACATGTATTTGCAGATTTACTAGTGTTTGCAGTTCATATTTTAATTAAATAATTTGGAATGAGTTATTTCTGCTCTGATCGTAAGTAACACTGTGGAGAATAAACGTGCAGTGCATGTAAGCGTGACGTGTGTGAATGTGTGTTTGAAAATGAAAAAAAAAAAATGAAAAAAGAAATCTGTTTTTGCAAATGAACTCTTCCTTTATTAATCTATTTATTTATAGTTGTAATCTAAACACAATGACACGTGAAGCGGTCATCTTCTGAGATCTTCTGTGTGTCTCAGGAGGAGCCGTACGTCATGTTTAAGAAGTCGGATAAACCTCTGTACGGGAACGACCGCTTCGAGGGATTCTGCGTGGATCTGCTGCGGGAGCTTTCGGGAATCCTGACAAAAATACAGCTAACTAACACAATAAAAAATGATTTTTGAAAATGAAAAAAAAAAAAAATGAAAAAAGAAATCTGTTTTTGCAAATGAACTCTTCCTTTATTTATCTATTTATTTATAGTTGTAATCTAAACACAATGACACGTGAAGCGGTCATCTTCTGAGATCTTCTGTGTGTCTCAGGAGGAGCCGTACGTCATGTTTAAGAAGTCGGATAAACCTCTGTACGGGAACGACCGCTTCGAGGGATTCTGCGTGGATCTGCTGCGGGAGCTTTCGGGAATCCTGGGCTTCCGTTACGAGATGCGGTTAGTGGAGGACGGTAAATACGGAGCGTTTGAGGAGAGTACGGGCCAGTGGAACGGCATGGTGCGCGAGCTCATGGACCACGTGAGTGCTTTATATGCCATTACTGCGTTTCTTCATGTTTTAAATTAGCTTTTATTTTTATACTTTAATTTTAGTTAAATTTTTAGTAAATGTATGTGCTTTTGTAAATTTCTTGAGTTTTTATTTGTTTTAAATATTATAATTTAGATTGCATTTAATTTTATTTCAGTTTTATTTTTATTTATTAAACTAAATCAAAAATAGAATAGCTTTTTTGGCAATTAATTGAAATAAGTTATTAAGTTTTTCATCTAATAATAATAATTTATTTTATTTCAACGAACAAAAATGTTCAATAGTTTTAGTTTACATTTGTTACCCTGACTTTGGTGTAATCAACTATTATTGATGTCACTGTTGGTGTAAAATGTTCCTGTTTCAAGATTTGAAATTGAATTTGAAATTGAAATTCAATTGCTAAAATACAATTCATATGACATCAGAAATGTAGCGCATAACTCATATGAACTACATTTCAAACTCACTTATGTTGCATTTTTTATGCCATTACTGCGTTTCTTCATTTTGCATCTTCAATTGGCTTTTAGTTTTAGTTACATTTTTGCTCATTTTCTTATGTGTTTTTATCATTTTTAATACTATATCTGACCCTGCAGCACAAAAGCAGTGTTAAGTCGCTGGGGTATATTTGTAGCAATAACCAACAATACATTGTATGGGTCAAAATTATACATTTTTCTTTTATGCCAAATATATGAAGATATTTTGTAAATTTCCTACCGTAAATATATCAAAACTTAATGTTTGATTAGTAATATGCATTGCTAAAAACTTCATTTGGACAACTTTAAAGATGATTTTCTCAATATTTAGATTTTTTTGCACCCTCAGATTCCAGATTTTCAAATATTGTCCTATACTAACAAACCATACATCAATGGAAAAATTATTTATTCAGCTTTGAGCTGATGCATAAATCTCAATTTCACAAAATGGACATTTAAGACTGGTTTTGTGCTCCAGGGTCACAAATAGTAATTGAATTTAAGTTTGGGCTCTGTTGTTTATTGTAACCGTATAGTAATGTAAAAGTGCTCCCTGTAGTTCAGAGAAGCTGAGGTAGATTTGTATCCCTAAGAAAATACAAATTCCAATTGAATTTATTTAAAGAAAGAGCAATTTGTTCAGTAAACCATTGTTTAATTTTAAAAAAAGCAAGTTATGTTTAGCTTTTTCCTCCTGCTGCACTGAAACCATACCGAACCGTGACGTCAAAACCGAGCTTCGTATCGAACCGTCATGTTTGTGTACCTGTACACCCCTAAGTTGTTGTTTTTTTGCAGGAGGTGCTCCCGTTCGACGACAACATCTGCCTGCGCGAGCCGTGCGAGAACTACATGAAGTGCGTATCCGTGCTGAAGTTCGACAGCCTGGCGCCGTTCGTGGCGTCCGACACCATCCTGTTCCGGCCAATCCACCCGATCGCAGGGCTGCGCTGCCGCTGTCCGCTCGGCTTCACGGGCGACTACTGCGAGACGGAAATCGACCTGTGCTACTCCAAACCCTGCGGCGCTCACGGCGTCTGCCGCAGCCACGAGGGAGGCTTCACCTGCCAGTGTCTCCACGACTACACAGGTGAGAGGGGCGGAGCCTCCACACACAAACACGCCCACATCCCTCTCTCATATTCATATATAAAGAGTTTATGAGGAGTCATGTTTATGAAGTATTTTGTGGAGGTCGAGAAGCCCCTGCAGGTGTGTTTTGATTGCTCTGGTGCTCAGAACATTATGAAGAGAAACGGCTTTAGATTCCAGTCACGTATTCAGACGGCACAGTTTCTCTCAGAACTGAGTTCAGCTCACGACCCCTTTGAGGGTTTGCAAAACACTCGATAATCACAGAGAATAGTAGATGATACGAGATGACGTGACAGTGAGATCTCCAGAGATGAGTCAGAGATGAGATGTGATGATGTTATGAACGGTATATATATAATCTGATGATCTGAGATGTTATGATCAGATGCAGTGTGATGGTCAGAGATGAGATGTTACGATTTTACAATGTTATGATTTTCAGATCAAATGGATTAGGTAAAATATTATGAGATTATCAGAAATGGGATGTTATTGATGAGGGATGAGATGTGATAATCAGATGAAATGTGATGTTGCGAGACGTTATGAGGTAAGATAAAATGATCTGAGATGAGATGTGATCAGGGATTAGATGTGATAATCTGGTGAGATTAGATTATTTGATGAAATGGATTAGGTAAAATATTATGAGATGATCAGAAATGAGATATTATTGATGAAGGACGTGATGTGATAATCAGATGAAATGTGATGATGTAAGATGTTATGAGGTAAAATGAGATGATAAGAGATGAGATATGATTAGGGATGAGATGTGATAATCAAATGCAATGTGATGGTCAGAGATAAGATGTTACATTCAGAGATGAAAAATGCTAATCGTATAAGAGAGGTTATGATCAGAGATGGGATGTGATAATCACATGAGATGTGATCTGAGATGGGATGTGATAATCAGATGCAATGTGATGGTTAGTGATGAGATGTTACAATCAGAGATGAGAGATGATAATCCGATGGGAGATGATCAGAGATGAGATGTGATAATCAGACCAGATGTTATGATCATGGATGAGATGATGAGGCATAATGATGACTTGACATTAAGTAGGATAACCAAATATAAGATGTGATTGTCAGAAATTAGCGGTGATAAACAGAATTGAGATGTTATGAGAGATGAGATGTGATGAGGTAAGACTTAATGAAGTGAGAAAAGATGATCAGAGATGAGATGTTACAATCAGAGATGCCATATGATAATCAGATGAGATGTGATAATTAAATGCAATGTTATGGTCAGAGATGTGATGTTACGATTTTACAGTGTTATGATTTTCTGAACAAATAGATTAGGTAAGATATTATGTGATAAAATAAGAAGATCAGAAATGAGATATTATTGATGAGGGGTGAGATGTGATAATCAGATGAAATGTGATGAGGTAAGATGAGAGGAGGAGATGAGATGTGATGATCACATGCAATGTGATTGTCAGAGATAAGATGTTACATTCAGAGATGAAAAATGCTAATCGTATAAGAGAGGTTATGATCAGAGATGGGATGTGATAATCACATGAGATGTGATCTGAGATGGGATGTGATAATCAGATGCAACGTGATGGTCAGGGATGAGATGTTACAATCAGAGATGAGAGATGATAATCCGATGGGAGATGATCAGAGATGAGATGTGATAATCAGACCAGATGTTATGATCATGGATGAGATGATGAGGCATAATGATGACTTGACATTAAGTAGGATAACCAAATATAAGATGTGATTGTCAGAAATTAGCGGTGATAAACAGAATTGAGATGTTATGAGAGATGAGATGTGATGAGGTAAGACTTAATGAAGTGAGAAAAGATGATCAGAGATGAGATGTTACAATCAGAGATGCCATATGATAATCAGATGAGATGTGATAATTAAATGCAATGTTATGGTCAGAGATGTGATGTTACGATTTTACAGTGTTATGATTTTCTGAACAAATAGATTAGGTAAGATATTATGTGATAAAATAAGAAGATCAGAAATGAGATATTATTGATGAGGGGTGAGATGTGATAATCAGATGAAATGTGATGAGGTAAGATGAGAGGAAAGCTTATTCAGATTTCAGATGATCAGATGAAATCTCAATTTAAAAAATTGACCCTTATGACTGGTTGTGTGCTCCAGGGTCACATTTTATAATATAGGTTAATTTATTTTTATTTTAGTTTAAGTTTTTTTTTTTTTTATTATTTAGTGCTTCGATTTATTTCAGTTACTTGCCATTTCTAAATTTCATTAAGTTTTTAATCTAATAATTATTTTTAAATTTTATTTCAGCTTTATTTCAACTAACAAAAAATTATGTTTTTAGTTTTAGTTAATTATAACGACCCTGGTGAGTGCTTATCATGGTTATGGACAGCACCAGGGTTATTTCAATACTTTTTATATACTATAATATTTTTAAATAATATTTTTAATTTGACTTTATTTTATATTTTTAGTTACATTTTTAGTAATTTACTTATATGCAGTTTTTAATATTATTTTATAATATTTTTCTTTAGGTTCAATTTATTTTTATTTTAGTTTAAGTTTTAATTTATTTCCAGTTAGTAATTTCAGTGCTTCAATTTATTTTAGGCAACATTTCTAATTTTCATTTAGTTTCAATTCTAGTTTACTTTTTTAATTTAGTTGTTTTTATTAGTATTTTATTAATATTTATCTTTAGATTTAATTTAAAGTATTTTAGTTCAGTTTTAGTTTTTATCTCCATTTAGTAATGTTAGTGCTTTAATTTATTTCAGTTACTTGTCATTTCTAATTTTCCTTTGGTTTAAGTTTTTCATCTAATATTTATATTTTATTTAACAAAAAATATGTTTTTAATTATAACAACCCTGATGAGTGCTTATCATAGTTATGGAGAGCACCAGTGTTATTTTTATATTTAATTTTTTTTTTTATATATATTTGTTCTATGATATTTTTAAAATAATATTTTGAATTTGATTTTATTTTGATATTTTTAGTTTATATTAATTCTAGTTTAATTCTTAGTCATTTTGTTATGTTTTTGTCGTTTTTATGATTTATTTAGTTTTAGCTGTTATTATTTCCAGTTAGTAATTTTAGTGCTCATTTAATTTTTAGCACAATTTATTTCAGTTATTTTTTCCATCTAATATTTTATAAAAATCTAAAATATACACATTAGGCTTTGAATATGTATGAATTTAGCAAAAGATGCAACATTTCCTGTGTTTTTCACCCATCTTAGTCTAACAGGCACGAATTGCTTTTTCAGAAGTATTTTTAATTTTAATAAATTTAATTTTTAACTTCATTCGTCCGATAGCAACGCTGAATTGTATTTGAACTCGACCCGACATGAATTAATGATGCTTTAGATCAAAAAATAATTTTAATGGCTTGACAGCCCTAATGTGAATACATGTCAACTTGTTCAATTTAAAGTCTAGAGGAGTCACAAATGATTCAGAGTTGACGAACTGATTCATTTGAATCTTTTGGCCGGTTATGCAGCTAAAAAGCATCACCTGACGGATCTGTGTGTGCTGATTGGTCTGTTGTGTTGGTGATTGACAGAAAGCAGACCTGGCCGTGGCTCCGCTGACCATCACATACGTGCGAGAGAAGGTGATTGACTTCTCCAAACCCTTCATGACCCTGGGCATCAGCATCCTCTACCGCAAACCCAACGGCACCAACCCCGGCGTCTTCTCCTTCCTCAACCCTCTGTCCCCTGATATCTGGATGTATATTCTACTGGCTTGCTTGGGTGTCAGTTGTGTGCTGTTTGTCATAGCCAGGTAACATGTGACCTTCACGCGCGTTTGACCACACGTCTGTCTTCATCCTCGCTCTCAGGAAACGGGGCCATTTGTGCCTGAAAATCTCTGCAATTTAATAAAATTATAATAAGAAAAAATTAACAACCCATAACATTTTCATAACTCTCTCATAACTTCGCGCACTAATTTTGTATTTAATATACTAAAAATGATTCTTTAGTACTGCTAGTATTATTGCACTAAATACTTTTGTATTTAGTTGGAAGAAAAATAATGTCAAATTTAAATATAACTGCAACACACCACATTATTTACATTTATGCATTTAGCAAATGCTCTTATCCAAAGCAATTTATAATAGAGGAGCGTAAGCAATATATGTATATATGTGTATATATATATATATATATATATTTTAGCAATATTAAAGTTGACAGTTTAACAGCTGAGCCCAAGCGTCCGTAACTAATTCCAAAACGTCACTTTAGAACTAGTAACGAAGGAATGTCGAGTTGTTTCATTGAAAGCTTACTGTAGTAAAAGCAGTGTATTATGTAGAGCATTATGAGAGAGAGATGGACTGAGAGTGTGATTACCTGCATCTGATGCAGCATTCGTTCTTCAGCTCAATCTCATATTCACAATAAAACATTAGTTTGAATGTCCGCTGAGGAAAGCGATATCTTTGTCGTACTATCCTTTCATCGGTTAAGGATGATTTCCAATGACAGCGCTGCATTTTACAAGCTGTTGTTTAAAGTAAAAATAGCTTCCTTGTTTACAACCCTGTTTCAGTCTCTTTCAATATAAAAGTCTTTACTGCGGACTCACACATAAAACGTCTCTTGTCGCCATCTAATGGCAGAACAATGCAACTAAAAACAGACTGCTTCTCAATACCAAATACTATTAATAAATACTACCATTTGTAAAAAAAAAATTGATTATTTTTTGAACAATAATATGTAATAAACAACAACAGCCATCATAAAAGTTGCTAGGCAATTCAGTCAAAAGTACAAAGGCAGCGCTCTGATATACAGTATTAAAGATATATAAAATATAACGTGATGAGATTTTGCTCTCAGCTAAAACTATTAGCTCTGGTACAAATAACAGATTAATTAGACCAAAGACTGCCTGTTAGATTTACCCCGAAACTAATTATATCTCATGTTTAACAACTATAGAGACATCAGAGCCAGCGGCAGGTTCCAGAAGATCTGGCCGAGGTCAGGCTGCTCTCAAAAAATTCAGTATTTGCAAAATATAAGTAAAATTGCACCACATTATTTACAGCCAATAGTTTTGTATTTAGTGGCAAGAAACAAATCTGTAAAAACAAAGTTCCGATTATCACTTTTTCCTTCCACATTGAGCTTGACATATTGAGCTTGAGTGTAAATATAATAAAATACAATTTTCAATAATTTTTATTGTGCATTAAAATGCAGTGATGTCTGAGAGCATGCGATAGGCTGAAATTCTGAGGGAATTAATAAAATGTTTATTTTTCACAATTAAAAACGGTGTCAAATCTATCAAGCAATATGATTAGATTCAGTATGCTGGGAATTCTCCAGAATAGAGAGACGAATGGCAGCGTTTCCTGATCGTGTGTCTCTGTCGTCTGATGGTGATGTTCTGTTGAAGCCCTCTGTATATCCCATAATTACTTTCTCCTTCATCCTCTCTAATATCTGTCTCACTGTAATGTCTCTCTGTCCTGCTGTAATATCTCTCTCAGCGTTTATGGCCACGTCTCACAGGAGTCTCCAGACTCAGCTGTATTAATTGGAAATCCTCTGAAATCAATCAGGCTCTGCATCAAACGAACAAGTGCTGACGTAAAGCGTTTGTTAAAGCTCGGTGTCGATGTTTAATGTTACCGGCCACATGATACGCAAGAAAAGCCACGACTGTCACCTAAGTTAGATTGGAATATGCACAGTGAGTGACTGTGAGGCATTCTGGGTAAGTGTTCTGGATGATATCAGCGCAATCGTGTGCAGTCGCTGGGTTTCCACTCACGGTGTCTTCTTCTGCTCTATAATTGGAATATTGACATTTCAACTGCGGTATTGATTAGAAAAGCCCCAATTTACCTCTAAACCCACAGAAGAGATTTCACAAATCCCAGAACGCACATAGAGATGTTCCTCAAGCTCTACACAAACACACACATGCGCTCGGCTTTATTTAGCATTCAATAATCAGTCACATACATTTATATACACTTGATTTGTCACATAGAAATAATGCAAAATATCCCATATTTGATATTCACTTTATGGCATAACTTTGATTTATATAATTCAGAATTTTCTTTTTCTTATTTTTTCTTATTATTTTTCTTTATTTAAAAATAAACCTTCTTTATTGGCATCTATGACTCCATGAAGAACCTTTAACATCCACTGAACCTTTTATTGCACAAAAGGTTATTTATAGTAGAAAAAGGTTCATTAGGTTATTAAAATGAAAACTAAAATATATATTTAAAAAATCAATATTATTGCACCATGCCAGATTATTTACATTTAGTGGCAAACAATTCTACCACACAGCATTATTTAGTCAATATTTTATATTTTGTGGCAAGAAAACTAAAATATATATATATAGATACATTATTTAAATTTAGTGGCAAGAAAATATATATAGAATATAAATACAATTTTACCACATGACATTATTTAGTCAATATTGTATATTTAGTGGCAAGAAAACTAAAATATACAGTATATAAAATATCAATGTCATTGCACCACACCTTGTTATTTACAGTCTATATTTTTATATTTAGTGGCAAGAAAAATAAAATATTAGTAAAATCTAAATAAAATTGCAACACACCACATTATTTACAGTCAAATATTTTTATATTGACTGGCAAGAAAATTAAATGTATATAAAATACAAATATTATTGCAACATGCCACATTACAGTCAATATTTTTTTATATTTTTATATTTGGTGGCAAGAAAATTAAATATATATATAGCTCAAATATTTACCTAAATATTGGTGAATTTCACCTAAATTTTACCATATTTTTTAAGAGTGTAGGAAAGATCCCAGATGTCCAATATAGTCTCAAACTTTCAGTATAAACAGATTTGATTGGGTTGCTGTAATCTGTATGCTGTAGGCGTTCAGACTGAAGCATTCAGTTCACATTCAGTACAAACACACACACTCACTCACACACACACACTCACACACACACACACACTCACACTCACTCACACACACACACTCACACACACACACTCACACACACACACTCACACACACACACTCACACACACACATCTATCTATCCTAGCGACATGCTAATCATGCTAGAAACATACTAACAGCATGCTAGTAGCATGTTAATCATGCTAGTAACATGCTAATCATGCTAAAACATGCTAGCAACCTGCTAATAATGCTAACAACATGTTAATCATGTTAAAAACATGCTAGCGACATGCTAGTTACTTGCTAATCATGCTAGCGACATGTTAGTCATTTGCTAATCATGCTAACGACATGCTAGTCACTTGCTAGTCATGCTAACGACATGCTAGTCACTTGTTAATCATGCTAGCAACACACTAGTAACATGCTAATCATACTAGAATCAGGCTAGTCACTAGCTAATTATGCTAACAACATGCTAGTCAATTGCTAATCATGCTAGCAAAATGCTAGAAACATGCTAATCATGTTAGCAACATGCTAGTCACTTGCTAGTCATGCTAACGACATGCTAGTAACTTGTTAATCATGTTAACAACATGCTAGTCACTTGCTAATCATGCTAGCGACATGTTAGTAACTTGCTAATCATGTTAACAACATGCTAGTCACTTGTTAATCATGATAGCAACATGCTAGAAACATGCTAGCAACTTGCTAATCATGCTAACAACATGCTAGTCACTTGCTAATCATGATAGCAACATGCTAGAAACATGCTAGCGACATGCTAGTAACTTGCTAATCATGCTAGCAACATGCTAGTAACAGGCTAATCATGCTAAAAACATGCTAATCATGCTAGAAACATTATCAGAAAGAAATAGGTATAGAAATGTTATCAACATCTATCTAATCTATCGAAATTTTCAAACTTCAGGCTTTTACAACTGCTTTAAACTTTGTCTTAAACATTTTTATCTAGTTGTTATTATAATAGTGAGTACATGTAACACGTGTAACAAGAACACCTTAAAATAAAGTGTTGCCAACTTTTTTATCATGGGTATTAATATGTATTGAAATCTAAAGATGCAAATAGATAAAGTGTAATAAAATAAACACTGTATTTTAGTCTGAAAGAAACATGACCAAAAACTGGCCAGTGCATGAAAACACAGCAGTTTTGCGTGTAATGTCTTGCCTTTAGAGCTTTAATGTTTGCCCTCAGTGTTGATGAGTGTGTGTGTGTGTGTGTGTTTGTTTGTGGCAGTAAATGCATCAGTCTATGCTCTCTCTGTGCGCTCAGGTTCAGTCCGTACGAGTGGTATAACCCTCACCCCTGTAACCCAGACTCAGACGTGGTGGAGAATAACTTCACGCTGCTCAACAGCTTCTGGTTCGGGGTCGGCGCTCTCATGCGGCAAGGTGAGCTCGTTAGCGTCTCAGTGTCATGCCTTGTCCAAGTACACACACCTTTCCAATGCATGTTAAATATTAATATAATAATTAGATAGTACATATAATTTGGTGGAAAAACAAAGGGTTGCACAGTGTTTAATCGGTGCAAAGATGAGCAGTGGTGATATTTATGTTGCAACCATTTTTCTTTTATGCCAAAAATCATTAGGATATTAAGTAAAGATCATGTTCCATGAAGATATTTTGTAAATTTCCTACCGTAAATATATCAAAACTTAATTTTTGATTAGTAATATGCATTGCTAAGAACTTCATCATGGGTATTAATATGTATTGAAATCTAAAGATGCAAATAGATAAAGTGTAATAAAATAAACACTGTATTTTAGTCTGAAAGAAACATGACCAAAAACTGGCCAGTGCATGAAAACACAGCAGTTTTGCGTGTAATGTCTTGCCTTTAGAGCTTTAATGTTTGCCCTCAGTGTTGATGAGTGTGTGTGTGTGTGTGTTTGTTTGTGGCAGTAAATGCATCAGTCTATGCTCTCTCTGTGCGCTCAGGTTCAGTCCGTACGAGTGGTATAACCCTCACCCCTGTAACCCAGACTCAGACGTGGTGGAGAATAACTTCACGCTGCTCAACAGCTTCTGGTTCGGGGTCGGCGCTCTCATGCGGCAAGGTGAGCTCGGTAGCGTCTCAGTGTCATGCCTTGTCCAAATACACACACCTTTCCAATGCATGTTAAATATTAATATAATAATTAGATAGTACATATAATTTGGTGGAAAAACAAAGGGTTGCACAGTGTTTAATCGGTGCAAAGATGAGCAGTGGTGATATTTATGTTGCACCTGCTTTTCATCACTTAATTAGTAGCACCACAAATTATTTTTGTGTTTTACGGAACAGACCTTTAGAAGTTGATTTTAAAATGCAATGCATAGTTTAAAAAGCAAAATATTTAAAATAAAAATAAAGCTATATGTGAGCACAAAAGCAGTCATAAGTAGCACAGGTATATTTGTAGCATCATTGTATGGGTCAAAATTATCCATTTTTCTTTTATGTCAAAAAACAAAAATGTTCCATGAAGATATTTAGTAAATTTCCTACCGTAAATATATCAAAACTTAATTTTTCTCAGCCAAATATTGTCCCAATATTGTTTTTTATATTTACAACACAAAGCTTAAAAGTGAAGAATCCAAGACATAAATATTAGTTTTATAACTTGTAGTACAAAATAATCACATATACATTTTTTTAACAGTACTATTGTATTTGACAACAGTATTTCTGTTTATTATTTTAATAATTGCATTTAAAATTAATAATAAAATTATTATTATTATTACAACTAAAAAGAGGTTTGGGTCCACTTTAAAGTTGTTTATAATAATGTTTATCATATCACAGTTCAAATTGCAATTTATGATCAAATAATTGCAATATATATATTTTTTTGGCCAAGTCAAGCCCTATATATACTGTAAATAATTTAAAAATAAAATCAATCAAAATAAAACGCTTCCCAAACAAAGATTTTATTGATTTCATCTTAAGTTTTAAGTGTTTGCCAGCTTGTCATGTGACCATTAACTGGCATCAGAGAAGTGTGAACATATGAATATGTTGTTGAATTATTGAAATATTAACTTAAAAATGTAAATGTTTAAGGCAATTTATGATAAAATAATTGCAATATATATTTTTTTTTGCCAAGTCAAGCCCTATATATACTGTAAATAATTAAAGATTTGATTGATTTCATCTTAAGTTTTAAGTGTTTGCCAGCTTGTCATGTGACCATTAACTGGCATCAGAGAAGTGTGAACATATGAATATGTTGTTGAATTATTGAAATATTAACTTAAAAATGTAAATGTTTAATGTCTAAGGCGTTTGGCTGACAAAAATAATCATCAATCCCTGAGTAAGTGGATTCTTTCACTCAAATAAACATCTCTGGACCGCTCTTGTTGTTATTATTATTTTATATTATCCAAAAGCAATAATGAAACAAAAAAATAATATGCTTATTCTAATAAATTTACAAATTAGTTGTCATTAAACTGCTATTTTATATTTAAAATTTCCTTCACAAATAAATATGAATGAAATAAATATAATTTACACTACCAGTAACAGTAAGATTTGCTGCTCAAGAAACATTTCTGATTATTATTATTATTATCATCAATATTTAAAACGGTTGAGTAAATTTTTTTCAGGATTCTTTGATGAATGGAAAGATCCAAAGATCAGCATTTATCTGAAATAAAAAGCTTTTGTTACATTATACACTCTACCATTCAAAAGCTTGGAGTCAGTATAATTTTGTTTTGGGGGGAGGGGAGAAATTATAGAAATTAATAATTTTATTTAGCAAGGATGCTTTAAATTGATCAAAAGTGATGATAAAGACATTTATAATGTTATAAAAGATCTTTATTTCAGATAAATGCTGTTCTTCTGAACTTTCTATCCATCAAAGAAACCTGAAAAATTCTACTCAGCTGTGTTCAACATTGATAATAATCAGAAATGTTTCTTGAGCAGCAAAGCAGCATATTAGAATGATTTCTGAAGATCATGTGACACTGAAGACTGGAGTAATGATGCTGAAAATACAGCTGCGCATCACAGAAATAAATTACAGTTTAACACATATTCACATAGAAAACAGCTGTTTTGAATAGTAAAAATATTTCAGAATATTACTGCTTCTGCTGTACTTTAGATCAAATAAATGCAGGCTTGGTGAGCAGAAGAGACTTCTTTATAAAACATTTAAAATCTTCCTGTTCAGAAACTTTTGACTGGTAGAGTAAGAGACGGAAAAAGTGAGTTATCTTGGTCCAGAAGGGTTGAGCTGTTGATTGGTGGTCCTCAGGCTCGGAGCTGATGCCGAAGGCTCTGTCCACTAGGATCGTGGGAGGAATCTGGTGGTTCTTCACCCTCATCATCATCTCGTCCTACACCGCAAACCTGGCCGCCTTCCTGACGGTGGAGCGCATGGAGTCGCCCATCGACTCGGCCGACGATCTGGCCAAACAAACCAAGATCCTGTACGGCGTGGTGGAGGACGGCGCCACCATGACCTTCTTCAAGGTACTGCGGCGTCCTCGGATTTCTACAGCGCTTCATACAGGACCGATGCTTCAAAGCGGCTTCACTGGAACAAAGAGCAAAATAACACTGAGTCAACGGAGTCATTATTCAGAATGATTAAGTTCCGTTTTGATTCAGTTCAGCTCAACAACAGTGCTAATGTAAAATTAATCAATTATTAAACAAATGAACTTTTATGCTATAAAGCAGCTCTACAGAAGACAATAGAGTCATTATTCAGAATGATTAATTTCATTTTTGATTCAGTTCAGTTCAATATTGATTCAGTTCAGTTCAACAACAGTGCTAATGTTGTAAAATTAATCAGAAAACAAATGAATTTTTATGCTATAAAGCTGCTCTACAGAAGACAATAGAGTCATTATTCAGAATGATTCATTTCATTTTTGATTCAGTTCATTTCAATATTGATTCAGTTCAGTTCAACAACAGTGCTAATGTAAAATCAATCAATTATTAAACAAACGAACTTTTAGGCTATAAAACAGCTCTACAGAAGACAATAGAGTCATTATTCAGAATGATTCAGTTCAATTTTGATTCAATTCAGTTCAATAAATGGTAAAATAACAGTGATAATATTGTAAAATTCATCAATTATTAAACAAATTAACTTTTAAGCTATAAAACAGCTCTACAGAAGACAATAGAGTCATTATTCAGAATGATTCAGTTCAAATTTCATCAGTTATGAAACTGATTCAGTTTCAGCTATAAAGCAGCTCATTATCCAACTCATAGTTTTGTTCTCATCTGATATCAGTGTATCAGTGCAGTCAAATATATATGTAACCCTGCAGCACAAAAGCAGTGTTAAGTCGCTGGGGTATATTTGTAGCAATAGCCAACAATACATTGTATGGGTCAAAATTATACACTTTTCTTTTATGCCAAAAATCATTAGGATATTAAATAAAGATCATGTTCCATGAAGATATTTTGTAAATGTCCTACCGTAAATATATCAAAACTTAATTTTTGATTAGTAATATGCATTGCTAAGAACTTCATTTGAACAACTTTAAAGATGATTTTCTCAATATTTAGATTTTTTTGCACCCTCAGATTCCAGATTTTCAAATATTGTCCTATCCTAACAAACCATACATCAAAGGAAAGCTTATTTATTCAACTTCTTTCAGATGATGCATACATCTCAATTTAAAAAAATTGACCCTTATGACTGGTTTTGTGCTCCTGGGTCACATATTTCTGATTATTAATAGTCTGGTTGCATCCTAACCTCTCCGTCTCCGCTGCAGAAAACCAAGATCTCGACGTACGATAAGATGTGGGAGTTCATGAACAGCCGGCGTCAGTCTGTGATAGTGAAGAGTGTGGAGGAGGGCATCCATCGCGTGCTGACGTCCGACTACGCCTTCCTGATGGAGTCCACCACCATCGAGTTCGTCACGCAGCGCAACTGCAACCTGACGCAGATCGGCGGCCTGATCGACTCGAAGGCGTACGGCGTGGGGACGCCCATGGGTACAACACACATCTACATCGTCAGCACTCAAACATTCACGCGCACAGTTGAGGTCAAAAGTTTACATCCCCTTGACTCTTAACACTGTGTTGTTAGCTGAATGATCCACAGCTGTGTTTTTGTGTTTAGTGATAGTTGTTCATGAGTCCCTTGTTTGTCCTGAACAGTTAAACTGCTGCTGTTCTTCAGAAAAACCCCCAGCTCCTGCACATTCTGTGGTTTTACAGCATCTTCTGCATATTTGAACCCTTTCCAGCAGTGACTGTATGATTGTGAGATGCATCTTTTCACACTGAGGACGACTGAGGGACTCATATGCAGCTATTACAGAAGCTTCAGACGCTCGCTGATGCTCCAGAAGGAGAAACCATGCATTAAGAGCCGGGGGTGAAAACTTTTGAACAGAA